CTGGATCCCCAGCAATCGCTACGCACGTATTTAGACCACGTACTGTGACACTGTACAGTAAAAGGAATTGTTGAATGTGCATTGCACTGGCCGCATTGGGTGGAGGGTCAACGTGAGTGCACCACCGTCAGTTGAAATGTGTTGATTACCATTTAATTAGTTGGATATCAAAAAGCTTCAAATCAAACACATTGCATCGTTTCGATAAGTTAAGTCTAATTTTACTTGATAGTGAACGCGTCGAAACAATGGAAGGTATTAAGTATTCAGTAATCAACTAGCACACAGCGATGATTTTCGCTTGAAAGGTATATGTGCTGTTACCTTTTAGGAATATAGTCTAGTAACCACAACATTAATTAAAATGAATGTCTTATTAATGTACAGGTGAATATTATATCTGAATCCCTTAAAATCCACAACTGGTTTTCATTATAAGGAAAGGTATTAATGAATACCTTGTGTGCAATTACGCAAGCACTCTTTTCTATCCCAAGCAGATAAAACTCACCGAATTGATGAATTCAATTAACTATAAAAAAATCAATAACATTGGTTCCAGAAATATTAGAGCCCAGAAATGATGCAATTCAGTGCTTTGGCTGCAGTAAGTACCGGTAATTTAGGAAACCTCTGATATCTTAGACAGTCATGGTGGTTTTGAATAAAACGTAACCCTTATTGACCGAAACCGCTTGGTCAGTAAGGTGAATTTTGTTGATATCTTTGCATTTGGCTATGCGGGCATCAAAATACCACACAGCTTTGTAGAAATAGCAAAAAAATAACTTAGCTGATGAAGGCCTTGAAAAAAATTAGGTCTGAGGCTAACCAACTGCAGGTTAACAAACATGAGGGTGGTTCAGTTGTTCATATTTTATCTTAAGTGAGTTAAGATCCTCTTGTGGATCATGCTTGGACCATGTGAATCCAGGTCATTGATACATGTTAAACCATGTCGTACGCAAATTTACCCTTAACATTTCATTGGCCAAACAACAATCAAAGAAAGGAAAACGCCTTCAACATGTTTGAACACATTTCCCTTTGAACCATTAACACTGCATAGCTTGTATGCCTCGTTTGCACCAAGTACACTTGCTAATCATTAAGGATATTCAGCAATTTCAAAAATTCAAAGTTATGGCGAATCACTCGTGAAGTTTGTTTTAACCAACACACTCGACCAAACTTATTTAAGTAGTTCTAATTGTTAAAACTTGACCTTCTTGCAGCCATGTAGGCTTCATTTTTTCAATGCAATCACACGTATTCACCAATTTACAACTACTTCAAGACACCGCCCTGTGTCGGGAAGAGTCCTACTGATTTTGGATACGGACGAACAATTTACGTAAACTCACAACTGCACAAGTAAACACTACGAAATAGGTAAACGTTTAGGCAAAAAAAGAGAGTACCAAGCGTTTTAGCTTGTGTTTACGCGATTTAAACGGCTTGCAAGGCAACGTTGTCCAGCAAAGTGACTTCCACCCCACTAAATCAATATTTCATAACCCGGGTGAACGTCTCTAAAATCAAATTAAGGAATTCAGGTTTTTTGAGAAAAACCTACTTACTTTTGCTACTGCAGTGCCAAGGAAAAGAGGAAATGACTATGTAACGTTAAGTTTATTATGTGACCCTAGATTAAATTAACCGTGACGATATCTACAGAAGGTGGAAATAAGTCTTACTTATGCGTTTTTCAGTAGACCAGAATTTACTGACATTTCCCCCAATTGCTACCTGCGACTTGTGGAAATGCAAATAACGATGCAAAATAGTTTGGTAACTTGAACGTTTTACAGCCTCTGTGTTGGTCTTATTTTGGAGTTTACATTCAAAGGTATCAGACACTCAGGATTGAAGTTGATTTAACTGACACACTTGTTCAGAGTTGCATTGATTCACCCTGGTTAACCCTGTCACCCTAGACTTTGCAGCATGTCGTCCGCCGCGGGGTTCCTCAACTCCCCCCTGACTAGCGCGGACGATTATCCTGGATTATGCGCCAGCCTAGGTCTCGATGTTAGCACACATCTATGATTCACACATCTGAGGTTTAAATGCACTCGCGCAAACGCCACATACACACACAACGACACCAACTTGGTTAAGCTCTGAAGCAAACGGTTGTGCCCACGTCCTCTCCGGTTTTTTCATTATTGCGGGTAGCAGAGAAGAGCAATCGAGCCAAATCTAACCCAGCGGCCCCGGCGTGGTTCAAAACCACACGCCGGGGTTCACAACATACTGTGAAAAGACGTCACAGTTATGCGATGGCTTGTGTTCAGGTGCTTGAGGGTGATCGGTTTTGGCGAATTCTAGCGACTTCATGCACCGTGCCACTGTCTGTAGGACTTTAGGTGGGGCCATAGAAATTACTGAATTTGGTGACAAGCAAGATGATAAATTTCCAACTCAATCAACACCATGGTACACACGATATTTTGAATTTCAGGCTTAATCGTGCCGCTCACTTGAACGAAAACGCACAAACACGTCAGCACTGTGACCCAGTTGAAGGACAGGAAGCCTGCACGTAGTTGGAGGAAGCGACCTGATCTTTTTGTGAATAAATTTACTTTGTTTGTGCCCAGATGCGAACTACTGTTTCCCCGGGTTTCACTTTAATCGTTGTCATTTAGGCCATGCCATTAATCACGGTCAGCGGAATAAAGAATTGGCATGTGCTTGAGCAACATTAGCATTGATAAATTTATTTTCACGACTATGTGGTCTTTGTGCCTCACTTACCTCAACTTTGCATTTCAGCAAGCAAATTAGCTGCCTCGCGACCTCACCTCTTCTGTTTTCATGTCATCGCTGACATGTGCGGCTCAAAGCATGTACATGGAGTTTGTACAATCTCAGTCTGTATGTTGATCTATTCAACTGCAGATTAAGCAATCTTTACACTTTCAACCAAGTATTTATTTAACCGGAAATAACAATAGAGGATGTCACATAGGTATCTGCAATATAACGAGAAGCTGGAGAAATCGGGCCAAATTTACCGTGTCTGGAATCATATCACCACGTGACTTATATCCAAGTCGCCTCCAGGTCTAAATTTAGCAAACAGTAACTAAACCTATGAATTTGCGGTACCGTGAGTCAAAAAGCCTTCATTTAGAGCATGTCGTTCTTGCGGGTTATTGTCTAAAACCAAACCTAAATGTCGCAGGTATTAACCCGTAATGTTAATTGCACCCTCCTAATTTTGGACAACGTTAAGGGTAAATGATGATAATCGTATAAACTCCTCGAATCAATCATAAATTTTACCAAGCTAACTTTACCCTAATCTTTAACTAGTAAAGTCGATAATGAATAATTAAAGTTTTTTTGTAACAAAGCTCCACAAAACTGAGCATAACCAATGTTGTAGACGTCGTTATTAGTCGAAGAAGGTGTGATTGACTTTTTATGCTTGTCTGTTTAATTAGATGAGATTTCGTCCTATTGAAAGAGTTTTTATTCAGTAAATAAATAAGCATTAGAGGGTTTAAAGTAGACTTTAGCTGCCAATTTTTAGTACTGTCTTTTACAAAAGGTTTATAAATGGGAATTAGGTGGCATTTTGCTTCAAGAGTTTACACCTGTTAGAATTCATGCCTGGGTGGAGTGGTTTGCGTCTTAAGACTGCCCAGGCAGTAGAAAGTTCTAGATGGAAATTCACTTGTGTTAGTAAGCGTGCATTTAGTGATTATCGAAGCCGACCGATGGCGGTCCAAGTAATTTTACCGGTTGACTCACATGTCACGGCCGCCACGGTGGAGTGGGCAAAATTAGGGGGTGAATCGAAGCACACGCAGTCCCACAAGTTGCTCACAGCATGCCCACTACCACCGACATCTGGCGGCTTATCTGCAGGATTAATCTGCTACGCTAATTCGTCTTTGTTCCGCTTTCAACCGCCGGAATTACCGCAGCGAAATGCGAGGCCACGTGCGCCGTGCTCAAGCATAGCCTCGCCCCACTTGACGGAACTGAACGAACAGGTTCGGTGGCAGTGAACTCGAATTAGCAGAAAACTTGCTTCTCTGATTGGTTAGCTTTTCCGGCTACCACACCCTTGTGTGGAAGTATGCGCAAATACTTAGACATTGTTTAATGGAATTAAATTAAAAAGCATATAGTTTTTGTTTGGCTCTGTATCAAATTCCAAGAAACACGAACTCACCAACATTTCAATTGTTAGGGTCTTGTGCGCCGACTCTTGACGGTAACACGAACTAACACGACAATCCTCAGATCCGAACCGCCTCAGTGACACCAAATCGGGTACTGTGTCACCAAAACCACACGGCCAGATCGCATTATATCGGGCACGTGGCCACATCCAACCACTCCTCTAACATGCATCGTTTCGTCGTGACTAGTATCACTTCCCGTCACTGTTTCAAGCATCCGAGGATCAAACAACCGCGCGTTTAGAGAATGCGAGTATCTTCGAATACCTTCTCTGAGACTTAGATTCGCCTTGTTAACTCGATCCCATCAGATTTCTTAAAAATGCGCTCCATGGACAGATCTGGCGATTCTTTAAATGAGGATTCCAGGAGACAGTTTCCAAGAATCAAGGGATTACATCCATATTTTAATATCTATCTAACATACTCGGCCATAGAAATGGCGGACACAGGTTACCCGTTTAATACCTTCGAGGCACGCTGATGTTCTACGTCAAGTGCATTAACAAGCGCATGTAGAGGAATAAGGACTGGTCCTAATGACTATGGACTCTCTTTGGTCAATAAAAACAACTGGTTTGTAAAGATAGTTGTTATATTACATATATAATGGGAAGTAGTTGCACACGGGGAGGTTTAAAAAGATAGTTAAAAGATTGATGCATTAGATGAGACTAGACAAGGTGTCTGGCGCATCAGGATTGTCATTGGCGCTTTCCACTTAAACACATACATAAATGCAAGTACGAATAAACCAGCGGATTCAATAAGTGCAAATAGTGTGTCCAAAATAGGGGTAAATCAAGAAACAGAGGAGATGGGATTTCGTGGGGTGCCCATTTGCGTGAGAACGCGATCCAGCCACTGAAGGGGCCCGTTTAAGTGGATTTCCACCCAACACGGCGTCGACGTTACGTCCTGTCGGTGGTACTCAGCACCCCAGCCCTTCACAAAACTCATCCGGATGGTGCACATCTTGGTCAACTCGTAAACAGCCTCAAAACCGTGGCTCACCGTCCGCCGAAGAAGTTGTGCAAACTCCTGATTCGAGAAGATCTTGAGGGAACAACCGGGCGGGATCTTGCAGACTGTGGTAAGGTTGAAGTTGTGCCGGTGATTGCAATTGCGTGATTGCACGAAGATGCTGCTATCAGATAGACACTCGGCGAAGACCTCGCCACCAACGTAGTACAAGTGGACACCTAACGCAAATTTGCATCTTGATTAGGCTTAATGTGAAAATGCGCAAAATCTATAGAGATTGAGGATTATAAAGTAGCGAATAAATAAGTGCAAATGAGTTTACTAGGTCGAGCAACATATTAATTCCGTTGATCTCCACAGTAATATGCCCTATCACTATCTTCATTTAGGAGCTGAGAAAAAGTAGAATACTAAATTAGATGGGAAATGCACTTTCGAGGAACGCAAATCGTGAGACTTAACAACCACGACGAACAGTGGTACACTAGCAGTAACAAGAATAACGGTTCACCACGATCCTCGACTATTTTATTAGTAAGAGGAAGTAGTATAAACTCGTACAAAAGTGCTTTCTTTAAGTACAGATTTCTTGTTATACTAACAGCATAACTCAAACCGGTAGATCCTCTTACAAATAAAAAGAAATGACTTGAGAAGCAGAGCAAGCGAATCAGCGTATAAATTTGACCAGGACGCACAACGCAATAGAGCCGGGGGGGGGGGGGGGGGGGAGAGAATTAT